TCTCATTAACTGAATCTTCTGTACCTTTTATTGCTATTGTATTGTATTTAACAGTTATGTATTGCTTGGCCTGCGATAGGTACCACATTTTCAAATTGGCCCTCCACATCCTCAAGCATCTCTGGTTTAGACATTACATATGTACAGAGTTCTACCGTCTTCTACAATAACTTTAAAGTTTATTATATAATAAAGGTATTCACTGATCAGCCACAACATTAAAACCACTGACAAGTGAAGTGAATAACATTGATTATTTTGTTAAAATTGCAATTCTCAAGGGATGGGATATATTAGGCAGCAAGTGAACTGCCAGTTCTTTAATTACATGTGTTGGAAATTGGAAAAATGGGCAGGCGAAAATATTTGAATGACTTTGACAAGGGCCAAATAGTAATGGCTAGACAACTGTCTTAGAGCATCTGCAAAATGCCAAGTTTTGTGGGTTCACGATGACCTCTGTCCACCATAGAAAGCTCCTTCAATGGGAGTAGTCAAGTAGTAGTAGTATCAAGTAGTCATGGTGCATGGAATCTGTAATTCCACCTCTGACAGCATAATCAGTCAATCAATGAGCAGCAAGATCGACATCTGGCTTTTGCTGCTCTGCAGAAATCGGAGGTCCTAAATCTCTCTTTAAAGAAAACAGGAACCCAGTGATGCAAAGCTAAAAGGGCAAACCGTTACAAATCGATTTTCCCCATTACTGGGGAATTAGGCCAGCGTATTCTTTCATAACCATTACAGTGGGCTGCAGTGGTTATGATTGATGGAGTAATCATTTAACGATGTTTTAACATTACAGTGTTATGACGTACTTCCTGTTTGTTCTTTTTGTATTTGTACACACCACAATTACGACACATTCCTACACAACGAGTAATAGATTTTCCGTGCATTGTTACAAATTACACTAACCTGGCATCTACAACCTGCCACAATATATTTTACATTTTTAAAACAAACAAAAAACTGTTTGTGAGAGGACATAGGAATATACCACACACAGAGAATGCAGAATAGGTATTCAGTGTAGCTTTGTGGGGTACCAGGGGTATACGTACTTACCATGGTAAAGACGTATAACTGGACAAGCGACTCACTCAATGAACATGCATGTGGGCTTGTCTTCTGCTAATTTCATATACCACGAACCACTTATACTGCACAGACAAGTTTTGCTAGCTCAGGTTCAAATTAAGAAAATGAGATGTAACATTTATTATTGCATTTTTTCACACAATTCATTTGTATTTAATTTTTTTCTGGTTGCAGCTGGTTAGAACATGTAATCGATTATCTGTAGGGTAAGTGCTGATATGACGAGTGTAATGGTGAGTATCCTCTGTTACTCCTTGGCTTCTTCGGCTATTTGTGGACCAAAGTATTCCGTGCCATTTGGAGAGCTCACATGCACATTTCAAATTACTCTGAGCTGCATTTAGATGTAAAATATAGTGAGTGATTATATCAGTGATTAAAGCCTTTACCCAAGGCCATGAGTCAAGACTACATGTATGGGTTAAATAAAATGGACTTTATTCAAGTTGTGCAGAGGTATTTATAACCACAGAGGGTAATTTACATACATTACACACAGTACCCCATCAAGTCCTCTTCCAATAACCCCTTGTTTTTCTTCCTGTAGACAACCCTCAGCCCCACCAAAACCAAGCAAATATTCAGCTCCATTTTCTCTGTATCATTCAAACAACATGAACTAAAAAATGTCCCTTGTAAAATTACCACCCAAGCAAGGGGAACCCCTACCCTGCAACCCTGGGTCCATGACAATGAGAAACCTAGTTATTAATTGGTTACTTATTGAATGTTATTTATTGGATGTTTCCTAAAATAATAATAGAACCTTGGTAATTGATTGGTTAATTATTGAATGTTTCCTAGAACCTTGGGTATCTATTTATTACCCCAATGCAAAACTGTATTGTAGTTGTGTATAATGCAATCCCTGGTGCCAAACCTGGACCTAATTTTTCTACTTAGCACTCCTGGATCTATCATAAAAATCATGTTTATCGTTAGGCAATCCAAACACGGTACAAACGGAGGTCCATGAAGACAGGAAACAATATTTTGAATTGGAAGATTGAAATAAATTATAGTGTTGGTGTAACTGCGTGTGTTTCCCACAACCCACAGCAAAACAAGTGCCAATATGTGAAATAATGAGTAGAGCAGCTTGGGATTTGAATTACACATATAAAAATACAGCACGATGGGAAGGTAATTGTATGCAATGTAATCAATAACTGCAGTGTTTCATTCCAACACGTGCTGTACATTTCAAGCCTCATTACACCGAATTAACTCAGAAATATATATATTTTTTCTTTGCGAACATGCTCCATACACCTGTAAATCACTGTAAAAACTGTGCACTCTTAGAGATGGTGGGGAAATAAAGTATTCTTACCATCTGTTAGGCTTTCCTAATGAAAGGTAGTCTTGGTAGGAGAAAAAGACGTGCACTTAGAAGCGGTTTGAAAAAAAAAACCCTAATGCAAACTGTTTGTTAATGGAATCACATTCTGTACTTTATGCCATTAAAATTTTGCTGAAAGTATGTTTTATTCTATAAGACCATTACAGCGCTGTTATTTCCAAATATCCATTCGGGCTGAATCAACAGGGATTCATTCTAAAAACTGCATTTCAAAAAAGGTGACTCACTCTGTTTCAGTGTGTAGAAATGTAGCAAGCTGTCATTGTTACAGCTGAAATGGGGAATATGGCAAAAGAAAATGTGCCAATTCTATGGCGGTGAACTCATTTCCTCTTTAGATCCTATCTCCTAAGCACTGTAGAATATATTTATTAAAGGTCCATCTCAATGAAGTGGTCTGGGTGCAGGTGTCCTGTCATTTTAACCATGCAATGCAAAACCGTGCAGTTTAGGGTCTTACTGACTTGCAGTCACTAGAGGCGCTACCTCCTCCAGAACTGAGAGAAACTCTTTTATTTTGACTCCTAATCTGTTAATATTTATTAAATTGTTCTAAAAACTGTCTGAGAATGTTGAGTTTTTCTACCTAGATACCCATTACAGAAAAGGTGCCAAATTTAGGGTGGCAGAAAAAGTGTCTGAATAAATGTTAAATCTGCTTAAATTATGGAATAAATTAAAAAAACATTTTTTACCTCCTATTTTACCAACTGGGATTTTTTCCTCCCTCTTTCGTTTACTTTATACATATACACACACACTTATCAGTCACAACAGTGACACCGGTCAAGGGGTGGGATCAGTCAGTTCTTGAATTTCATGTGTTGGAAGCAGGAAAAATGGTCAAGTGGAAAGAACTGAGTGACTTTGACAAGTGCCAAATAATGATAACTAGACGAATGGGTCAGAGTATCTCTAAAACGACAAGTCTTGTAGGGTGTTCTTGGTATGCAGTGATTAGTACCTACCAGAAGTGGTGCAAGGAAGCACAACCAGTAAACTGGCTTAAACCGCATTGTTATTAAGCATATATGTTTCTTAACAAAATATATTTACCATATGCAATGATAGTTAAGACACAGAAGAAAGCACAGTTTTAATAAAGTGCACCGAAAATGACACAAACGGTGAAAAACTGTCTATGATACTTTAAATTATCTCCCAATGTTTGTTTCTCTATTGCGCTGTGAATCCAGGCTGTACCAGGAATGAATATATTAACAATAGGTGTGGAATATGTGGCGCTGAGTAATTAATGTGAACAGTATATTTTAGCTGCTGTTTACACTCTATGGGTACTCCTAAAAGCCCACCATACAAAGATAAACACCAAAAGACGAAAAAGATTTCAGATCTAATGGGTGTTACCACCCCTCAGGTCTTCTATCTTTATGAGTGCAGCGCTATGTAGTGTGTGAAAACACAGTGAATTACCTGTGATTCAAAGGCAATTATCCTTTATATTCTCCAATGTAGTACATATACAAAAGAAAACAGAAATATATACAGATAATTGTGCAGTATATCTATTACTTTAGTGAAGTGTTTAGTGGGTAACATATATATCTCCACTCACATTTTTTAGAGCCTTTTCAAGTGAATTAGGCTCTAAACTTTCGTGCATCTGTGTCTTTAAGGGTAGATCACACGACCCCTCTCTCCAGGTTAAGTGTGTATTTTTTCTCTCCCCAGCGTATATATGAAAGACACAGAATTATCCAACTAAGTGTAGCATCCTCTATGATATTTTCTTATAAATAACAAATTGAAGTGCTCACCTTATTTAGAGCCTTTTGGTAACTGGCTCTAAGTGTATAGGCCTAGTGTCAGTTTGTGGGGTGACACTGCCCCTTCCCTGGAATCACTGGTGCTGGATACAGTGGATAGTATAAAATAAGGGAATTTATTACAATATATATAAAAACAGTATAAAAATATTTTTCTAGAAAATAAAAAATTGGATAAGAACAAATTATTGCAAGTATTGGTGGTTCAGGAAAAATAATGAGAAAGACCCTCAATTTCTAGAATTTATGGCTATCCAGAAAATCACACTCAACTGGCGAGGGGAAGATGAAATTCGAAAATTAGGAAAAATTGAAACAAAATGGATTTTCGATCTTAATACTCTAGCCCCCACAGGTCTAAATGCAGACTTCGAATTATGCCATTTCTTATAAACTAGACTATATATATATATATATATAATACACCAATTAACATCATTTTTTCTCATTGGGCTCTATTTTTAGCACTATTCCATATAAGAGTCCCTACTGCTTCAAATAAAGAATAATTAAGTGTATACTAATTTTATATATTTAGACTAAAACAAAAAACAGTTGGAATTTTAGATATGAACAAAATGTGGAATATGTTTGCACAAATATTATTTCATAAAGAATGCACACTTTGAAACAAAGGTCACCTTTTTACACTGTGTCTAATGTGCATGTTTTTTCTATGTAAAAGATACTATTGCCTAAAATAGAGATCAAATAGTATGACAAAAGAGTTGAAATATAATTATAGTTATTGCCTTTCAAAATTTAGAACACATATGGAGAAATAGTAATATATGATAAGACATATACAATAACATAACATTTTATTATAATGTTTCTTTTTTCTTCTATTTGCATTGTATAACTGTATATGAGCCAAAGAGGGCTCTAATATGAACTGCAAAAAAAACCCCAGTGCGGACTATATTTCCCACAAAGAACCGGACGAAAACCGGAAGTGACGCGGTAAGCGCAAAGCACTCTGGATCTTGTAGTGCCGAAAACCGGAAGTGACGCGACGGCATTTTAGCCGCGTCACATGACACAAAAGGACCAATCTGATTGGAAGATGACATTTTAGGCGGGATTTTGGACGCTTAAATTACAGAACATGAAGAGGACACTCACAAGCTGACTGAGGAAGCCGTTTTTACCGGCGAAACGCGTTTTGGCTTTTAAAGTGGACTCATTATTTTTCCTGAACCACCAATACTTGCAATAATTTGTTCTTATCCAATTTTTTATTTTCTAGAAAAATATTTTTATACTGTTTTTATATATATTGTAATAAATTCCCTTATTTTATACTATCCACTGTATCCAGCACCAGTGATTCCAGGGAAGGGGCAGTGTCACCCCACAAACTGACACTAGGCCTATACACTTAGAGCCAGTTACCAAAAGGCTCTAAATAAGGTGAATTTGTTATTTATAAGAAAATATCATAGAGGATGCTACACTTAGTTGGATAATTCTGTGTCTTTCATATATACGCTGGGGAGAGAAAAAATACACACTCAACCTGGAGAGAGGGGTCGTGTGATCTACCCTTAAAGACACAGATGCACGAAAGTTTAGAGCCTAATTCACTTGAAAAGGCTCTAAAAAATGTGAGTGGAGATATATATGTTACCCACTAAACACTTCACTAAAGTAATAGATATACTGCACAATTATCTGTATATATTTCTGTTTTCTTTTGTATATGTACTACATTGGAGAATATAAAGGATAATTGCCTTTGAATCACAGGTAATTCACTGTGTTTTCACACACTACATAGCGCTGCACTCATAAAGATAGAAGACCTGAGGGGTGGTAACACCCATTAGATCTGAAATCTTTTTCGTCTTTTGGTGTTTATCTTTGTACCAGGAATGAACTGAAAAAAGGCTAATCCAAATTACAGTCAAGGTTCATTCAGTAAAATATTTTCAGAAAATTGACATTTCTCCTTTAATGTACTTATACATTAACAGATCTAGCTGTTCCTTTCATGGCTGTGAACTAACATTAACCTAATACGGGCTAAGGAATCCAAATCAGTTTAATCCTGACTTGTAATCCATTTCAGAATCCATTCTTCTTAGTTTATATGCAGCAAAGGGGGTTCTAGAAGCTGATTATGATGTTCCGTGCCATTTATTTACACTGTGTGGATTTAAGTTAATCCTTCTTGTCAAAGAGGGATTCGCCCACATCCAGTAAAGGTCAGTAAGTGCCCTTGTGATGTGTAGAACAAATACAATTAGATTGTGCAAGGATTAGATCAGTGATTTTGGCACTGACAAAAATGTTTAAATCAAAATCTACAGCGCAATATGAATAGATTTTTCCCCCCTCATTTTAAATACACAAAGAGCACCTCTCAGAAAATGAGAAAAATATATTGTTACTAAGTCCCTATTGTATTCTATTATATATTTTCAACATTCCGAAGTCTAACCATTGGATACCTTGACAATATCTTTATTTGCTATATCAAATGTGTAGCTGTCTAATTATTGCTGTACTTGGTCCATTAGGACTGCAGTCTGGTCCCTTGTTAAGACAAACCAACTGCATGAACTTAGGGGCTCGATTTTTAAAGCTGGTTGAGATTTGATTGGAATGTTTTCAAATTTTGCAATTAGAAAACCGGAGAGGGTAGTGGATGCATGGAATAGCCTTCCAGCTGAAGTGGTAGAGGTTAACACAGTAAAGGAGTTTAAGCATGCGTGGGATATGCATAAGGCTATCCTAACTATAAGATAAGGCCAGGGACTAATGAAAGTATTTCGAAAATTGGGCAGACTAGATGGGCCGAATGGTTCTTATCTGCCATCACATTCTATGTTTCTATGTTTCTAAGATTCTGCCCTTTTATTATTTACTTGACTAAAACAACTTTAAATATTGCTCTTCCATCATTGCTTGATGGGCTTTACTGCGAATGGGATGAAAAATATGTACAAGGGTAAGAGGCTATTCTGTATTTTAACTAAAATCTGATGGCATTATTGCAGCTCAAACAATGAAGCAATGTAACTGGAGTATTCTAGGTGTTAAAAAAATAAGTACTGTCTAAAAACAAAGCATATTGCTGTCTATAATCTTTTCATAAATATTTTTTTAAACTATTTTTATGTCACTTTGTGAATAAAACACTCTAATTCATATACAGCCTGCTATAAACTTGTCTTACAAACACATGCCTTTTTTTTTTTTTTGTTAAATACATGACATCTAGGCTTAGTCAAGTTTTTCTGTGCTGTGTTGGGTAACCGGGCAAGTGAACAAAACAATGGAGTAACACAACACACACAGCGCTTCACTGCTCCACACTCAACATGGGAAAAGATAGAGCGACAACGTTATTGTTTCACAGACAAAGAACACATTGAGGGCAATTTAGAATTACATCTCCAACACCCCCACTTGCTTTCACATGAGTTATTCACAATAAGCTTTTTTAAAAAAAAAGAATATTTATATTCCAAACAAATAGCTTAAGGGTTTTTCGTATTTGAACTTTGCTCAGTTGGGCAGTAATCAAGGACCATGACACCTTCCTTGATCACTGATTGGATGAAGCAGTGTTTGATACCAAAATGATTGCATCTTTGACAACTAACTAGATTCCTTGAAAGATTGTCTGCAAAGACTGTACTTGTACTGGTTCATATTGAGAATGATTGTCCATTTCCCTGTGTGGCTGCATAAGGTACAAACCTTCTTGTGTGGGAACTTCACATGAGCACAAAGATACTTTAGACCAGTGGTGACTGCTCAGAGCACTGAGCATAATTCAGAGATGCTCATACAACAAGGCAAACTTGACGTAGCATACATATATCTATAACATGCACATAGCTGAGTACAATACAGAGATATCCATACCACAAACAGAGGTAAGGATAACACAGATATCTATACAATAGAGCCGATGTGACTACAGAAATACTCAAACAACGGGTAGGACTACAAAGATAATAACACACAGAGCTGGGCACTATAAGGAAATAATATAATTATCCTACAGAGCCATGATCGCTGTGATGGATTACACAGAGCGTTGCGCCAAGTGCCCCCCTATGGACGAGCCTCCACTGCTGTAAACTGTTTCTTAGACTCTCGTGCAATTAGTTGACCCTTCTCTGTAGGACTAGCGCAGTATCCAGTCATGCTTATTCTATCATTCCCATCACTGTATACTTCTAGCTTAAAATCTTGATTCCTCTTCTTGTAGCATAACTCATAGTTAACGGTATGTTTGAAGCATCTCACCACATGTTTATCTGTCACCAAAATGCGTTCTGTTGGTTCTGAGAAGTGTTGTAATACTTTGATGATTATCCAACTTAAATCGGGTCTTGTGCTGGTCATTACACATAGTAAACTGCTATTATTCATCAATATGTGTTTGTTTTCACTGGGTTATTGCGATCTTGCCTTTGTTCACATGTGTTTACAAACCATCATGCTGAACCTCTGCAGAATATTATATCTATAGGAATCTATAAGAATACATGTCTCTTGTGGCTCATGATTACTAGATCAACACCTTGTTTAATGTCAATGCCTAGGAAATATTTGATTCTTCCAAGGTCTTTCCTCTTGAATCTGTCTGTAAGCATTTCCTTTACATAGTGAAAGAATTTTTTACTACTGGCACCTATAATCATATCACATATCAATATTACTAGCATAGCTTTTCTCAAAGCCTTTTGGTTGTTCTACGTATATTTCACAATTAATTGGATCATGTAAATAAGTTGTTTTCACATGCATTTTATGAAGATGTAACTCACATTGTACTTTTATTTGCATTATGATTGGTTCTGATAAAATGTTTGCTGTTGGAGAAAATATTTTTTGTAATCAACTCCTTTTAGTTGATTAAATCCCTTAGCAACATATCTGGCTTTATATATTTCTGATCCATCAGTTTTGTTCTTTATTACATACACCCATCAGCCCGGCACAGAAAGTTAGCCTTCTGGTAAAGTGGTCAAGGTAAATCACTTTCCTCTTTCATAGCATTGAGGTGAATTGATGGCAAACTTCAAAGGTTTGTGATATGTCAAACACCATGTAACAATAATACATATTTATTAAGACATGGTCATTGCTTTTGAAATCTGAAACATAGTCTTTCAAGTGTTTGATAACTCTTCTATTTATTTTAGGGTACTGTCTACCATGATCATTATTCGTATGGCCATTCTCCTCACTCTCTGAGATCTGAATCTCTTCTGAACACTCTACTTCAATATCATTTGTTTTTTGCACAGAAGCATATTACTCTCTCTCTGTGGGAGCCCTCTTCAATATGCAATAGATCAGTTTACCTTTCAACAGCTTTCTTTGTAAGAAATGTCACATGCCTGCGTTTGAGAACGTTTCTGGAGCCATGATAAGACTGTACTTGTCATATTCAACAAAGATTCCTCTCTCACACATTGAATCTAACCTCTTCCTTTTATACCTACATACAAAATGTTCTGACCAGCTCATGGTGCCCATCGCGTGGTCCATATTGTTAGGGCCATAACTCATAGTTCTTCTCATCTCTGTAGAAGCCCATTGGATTCCAGCATCCCTCCTGTACCATAACCTGTTGCAACCTACATGCTGAGGGTAGGATAACCAGGCAAGAGCACTCAATAACAGAGGAACACACTACATACATGTTTAGCGCTTCACTACTCCACACTCAACATGGGAAGAGGTGCAGGAACAACTTTAACCCCTTAAGGACAAATGACATGTGTGACATGTCATGATTCCCTTTTATTCCAGAAGTTTGGTCCTTAAAGGGGTTAATGTACCAAGCAAAGAATGCATTAAGGTCACCTTAGGGTTACTTCAAACAACCATTAAGTAGGCGACAACTGTTTCTTTCTCACACCTTCGTTGCATTATTTACATTACACAAATTAAATTGATAACTTGTAAAATGCATCAATGCATTATCTCAGTACATAAAAAAATACACAAAAGTTATAGACATAATCTCCT